ATTTTGAGGTAAGTTTTGAAGTTCAGTCCTTCCACGGAAGATTTACTTGTTGGGGCCACAACCAAAGCAATACCATCCTGAAATAAACTCTCTATTAACAAAAGCTTTGTTCAAGATAGATGTTTGAATAGATGGGCGTGGCGATATCCACGCTTCCGAAAAAAAATTTTATAAGGCTACTTGAGTTTTAGAAATTTTCAAAACATTATTTTAATTGTTTTTGAGTGAAAACGAATCGCTTACACAATTTTTTGACCCACGCTAGCTTCTTGGCATCAGCGCACCACGGCTGACCATGTCTCAACGTCTTGTAAAAAGGAAACTGACCCCACGATAAATAAGCTGTCTTTACCTCGGGACAACGCCACGTTCATTCGCTTAGAGTCGGAGAAGAACGTCGCAAGGTCCCTTCTTTCCATTTGTGTCCGTGTCGTGCAGAGCATGACGACGGATCTTTCGGATCCCTGGGCGCTATCAACGGTTCCGACGGTGACTCCGGTGCCCTGTAACGTGGATTGACAGAGGAATTTCTGGTTCGATATAAACAAATTACTAATATATCCTCTGCCCTCATGTCTACCGCCATGAGTAAGCGTACTAACACTACCACCGTCAGTTTGATTGCTGTAGGAGCCATTTATTGACTGCTCCGCATGGCTAGGCACATTCATGAGTGCCACCGGGATGTTGATGTTGGGCATCTGTAATCGTGAGAGTAATCCTTGTCTTTGCTCTCTAAGCGTTCCACATAACAAATGGCCATTGTAGAACAGCTCGGAATTGAGCCTCATCATTTCTTCGTGTGACCTGTAAACTGTGCTCACTGTGCATTTGGGCACATTACCATTTACATGCGCTACTTCCAGTACCGATCGCAGCTCACTTCGACTGCCAATGGAATGATATGTACGCCAATGTAAGGAGGCAATTGTTTGCTATCACAGATTAGAGTGAAGCAAGCCCTCTGAAATCGCGATAGCATTGCCATTAGCGCGGCTTCAGGTACCATTGATGCT